ACACACACACACACACACACACACACACACACACACACACACACACACACCGGCAAACCAATGGATACACTCAGAGGTTCACATATAATAGATTGACCTCCGAAAAATCAACATGGTCTCCGTTGAATAGGTTAGGAACAGACGACGTTCCAAATACTAATCCGAGATGTACATTCGAAAGGCGTAGGTCCAGCATCTCGTCATTATTTTCAGTTACCGTTCACACCGAAATGGATCAAATTGCCAGAAATAGTGCGCACAGATGTTGGTACGTTCACGAAGCTGGGCATGTGTCGCTGTAAGCCGTTGAGCGGTGTTCCGATTGGCGTGGCGATAGCTGACCTTCACGGGTCCATCACATCTGTTCGTGGGAGCTATACGGGAGCTGATCACGCTTGTGAGTTAAGAACTCCTCTTAATTCCGTTTGTTTTGCAGGTTTGAAACCATCAGTGTTCCATTATACTTGGAATATATCACTGTATCAATATAAATCGGTATTCACATTCAAAATGTCCCATAAAAGCAGCTCAAAAAAACTTGCGTCTCATCACGATTAATTGGAACAGCGAACGTTCCGTGTTTCAAACAGAGCGTGAATTTTTCTACATATTTTATATAATTTTTGAGAAACTTTCTGCTACCCACCTGATGTCAATTAAAGGTCTCTACTATGAATATAAAAACGCTCGCATGTCTTTGTCCGTTTGTCTAACTGTTGTTGTGTTTCTGTCTGTATGTGTGTCTGTCCGGTTACTGAACTGCTCGACTCCGGGAAAAAGCGCAGAGGTGAAGAATAGATCAAGACATGAAATAGAGTAGACCCAATCTTGGTGGGTGGAGCGTGCCGGCAGTGAACGGTGCTTCGTAGTTAAGATCCACAAGACTCGATTAACTCGATTTCACCAGAGCCTGTGGGCTTGAAGGAAGTGGTGGGAATGGACGAGATTTATAATAGTAGCTTCGCCAGCATAAGCGGATTGCGCTCACAAATAAAAGATGCTTTTAGTAGACTTATAACTATTCCAAAGTTATAGTATATGAAAAAGCGATTAAAAGTTATCCAAGGATAAGCGGCAAAATCTTTGTAGCGGGCGGGGCGTGCGTTGCGTTGAGGTGGGCGGAGCTAAGAATGAGAATTTATCTATCTTTTTGAGCCAATCGTTATCGTCAAAGACTCGAAAGTAGTTCGAGGATCTTCATCTATGGCTTACTTCAAGCGCCCTAAAACACACGGTTTTTTTTTNTTTTTTTTTGCAGCAAGTTTCATTCCAACGGAGTGACTAACATATAAAATTTCAACCAAAACAACCAGTGCTTTTTTCAGATATAATCATTGGTACCTCGAGCCAGCTGTGTTTCGTTCTTTCAAATTCCCTGTCGCTCCCGACGATGCCAATAACTACTCATATCTTCCCGTTCACAGAGGGACTTACATTGCTAGCAGCCGCATCGATGAACGGCGGAAACACATTGGATGCATTTATCAGTGTATGTTTCATATACTTCATTTGTCAAGTATCTTATTCAGCGGTTAGGTCTTATAATGCCAACTGACACTACCACCATCGGAGGTTGGAGGTTGAGCTTGAATTTCGGATTGCTACCCGCTTGTATCAATCTTTCTAACTCTCCAAGGTCAGGTGGTTTATGCCAGGTTGATCAGGAAAGATGAGAACGCTGACTTTTTCTAACCACTCCTTAGGCATTGTGTAGGTCAAATACTATTAATTCGTAAGTCGCCATCGCTCTTATCACGAAAATTGAATGGAGCTCGATTGAAAAAGACTAGGAAATATCATGTCTTTTGTTCGTTACGGCGGTGTGGTATATCGAATTTCGCGTGACTTTTTTTGCTCTGGAAAAAAATTCGGGCTTGGATTGGGCACAAGTGACGGAATGGAACTCTGACCATTGACGAAGGAGTGCTGAATGCTAACAAGGCTTACCCACAAAGAGGAAGTAGGATGGGCAGTGTTCATGTATGTTTTAATGTGATATAATGTAACTTTGATAGAACTGATAAGGAGTTCCAAAAAGAGGTGCTATGTGTTAGGCGCGCCTCTTTCCAGAAGAGAAAGCGTAAAACTGGTCTGACGAAACTGTAGTTGTCGGATGAGAGATGAACAAAAGAATGTGTTCACCTCAAAAATGAGGATTTTCGAAAAATGCTGCTAGTTTCATTACATTCCCTTATGAACAGGACGGCATGTTCACCAAAGAAGCCAAATGGGGAGAGGGTCGCATAGTAAGTAACTGATGGCAACTTGCAAAAACAATGGGACAAGCAACACTAGCCAGCAGTGGCTACTAAAGTCTTGACGTCTCTCGATTCAATGTTTTTACATTGATTTTTAGAGTCCTTGCTCCTACAACTAATACGGAGCGGATCGAGAATATGTATGTGATAAATTTCATGGTGAATGACTGCATACTATACTTAGTAGATGTTACTTAGACTTAGACTTAGTTCCCCCCGTGCTGGAGAGCACATCGGGCGACGAGATTCTTCCACTGTTGCCGGTCTTGAGCAATCATTTCTCCCTCGCTCCTAGAAACATTTATAGTCTTTAGATCATTCTCAAACGTTCGTCTCCACGTGTTTCTGGGACGGCCTCTTCCTCGCTTGGCTCCTGGAGGTATCCAGTTCATGGCCACTTGTGAAACTCGTTGCTGTGCCATGCGCAAAATGTGACCAGCCAGTCGAAGTCTACGCTGTGCCACAACCACGTGGAGGCAGTTTGAATCACAACGTCGTAAAACTTCCTCATTTGTGACGTGGTCCGTGTAGCGTATTTTCATTATCCGTCGTAGGCATCTCTGATGAAAGGCGTTCAGTCTCTTGACGAGGCTGGCAGTACTCTTCCATGTCTCACTTGCATATAATGCCGTAGGGATCACGATAGAGTAATATAAGCGCAGCTTGATGTTCTGTGATATCGATGAACTGGCCCATAATGGCTGGAGTCGTCGNCGTCAAATCGGTTCCGCATTTCCAAGGCAAGCCTCGAAGCAAGGTTGGGATCCTTCAATTTCTCTACAGCGAACGGTCGTGCAAATGGAGTACTTCTTATTTTCTTCAACTTGAGTTTAACCACCGCTCTGACCATGTAGTGATCCGAGCCGATATCCGCACCTCGAAGCACACGAACATCCTGGAGGGAACTCCTCCACCTGCGGCTTATGCATACATGATCAATTTCGTTTAACGTTCTTCCGTCCGGAGAGCGCCAGGTTTTCTTATGGATCTGTCTGTGTTGGAAATAGGTGTTTCCAATACATAGTTCATTGTGATCACAGAACGAAATGAGTCGCTCACCATTATTGCTCAATTCTTCAGAAGAAGCGAATGGTCCGACTGTGCTCTCGAAGCCGCATCTATTGCCATTTATTTTTGCGTTGAAATCTCCAAGAACAATTTTCAAATCTCTCCTTGGTGCGTTGTCGATGGTGTCTTGAAGAAGCTCATAGAAGTCGTTCTTTGTGTCGTCGTTCGAATCCTCCGTAGGTGCGTAGGTCTGGATGATCGTGATGCGAGTGTGCCTTGTCACAAATCGCGCAGATATTATTCGGTCACTCACTGGGTTCCATCCTTCAAGTGCTTTAGCTGCACGTCCGCTCAAGACAAATCCAACACCTCTCTCATGTCGATTCTCATGACCAGAATGTAGGACAGTCTTGTTTCCACTAGTCATACGACCGGTTCCGAGCCATCGAACTTCACTAATTCCGAGGATGTCCAATCGATATTCGTCGAATTCTCGCAGCAGCTGCGCGAGATTCCCAGTCTGATTCAACGTGCGCACATTCCAAGTAGCAACAAAAGTTTGATTTTTAGGTGAGAAAACCGCATTCCGAATCGGGAGGTTATCCGTCATAAAGCGGAACTTTGGTTCCCTCAAAGCAACAGATATATGTTTCGTCGTTTCTTTAGCATTGAAGTTTTTTACGGTGGAAGGGTCGCCGGCCCTTCGCACCAACCCTCCTCCTTTCTCATCCGGGCTTGGGACCGGCAACGGCGGAGTTAGTAGATGTTAGATGAGTCTGAGTTGCTTGTAAGTATAGCCGGTTGGATTGTTGAACGTTCACAATACGCATAAACGTTCACATCACTAAGTGTAATGGTAGCAGAGTTTTGAGAAATAACATGAAAGTCTTGTGCGGCTTGTGCCTTAGATTATTGGTAAGTTGCGGTAAGTAGTCAAAATTGACGAGGGAATTGAATGAAGAGATCTCGGAAAGCAAAGGTGAGAAATGGCGCCTCAATTTCATTCCTATAACAGAAACAGCAAAACTTGCAACTACAGCGACAGAGATGATGTTCGGCAACGAATGATATCACCCCTTCCAACAGTGTGAATCATTGAGCACTATGGAATTTCTTTTCATGCAATGTCAGTCCCACTGTTATGGTGCAGCCCCACGAAAGCTCGAGAATGGTGGTATGATTCTGCACTTTTTGGAATTCATAACTCCCATGGATTGCACCCATTAACGGGGACACGATGTGGGGGTGATGAAGAGCAAAAGATGTTGTTCTATGACAAACTTTCGTTTGAAAGATCTGCGTTCTCACTATATGCTCATTAAGAACAAGGCTTTGGTTGGGCGATCTGACTGGCAGTAAATATCATAATGATTCGAATCCTACTTCATTCCATTTCTTATCCATGAACTGTTGTCGCAGTCTCTCTCCCCGCTGTCACCTGATCAAGTTGTAGAAGAAGTCGGGGAGGTTCTACATTTTTTGGTTCAGGGTGCAGCTTTGGTTCTAGAGTGGCGCTTCAGGCGCCAACCAGATTGATCACCTCAATCAGCTGTCTGAGTAGACCTCCTCACCCTCGCTGCTGCTCGCTCTTACAATTAGATCGAGATTCTGTTGTTAAAGAGAAGTTGTTTCCAGAGTGTTCGGCGATGGTCTCAGGAGGCTACGCAAACTGAGAATTCGAGCCATGTCGACATGTCACGTATTCTGTCAGAGCTAGATCGAGGTGAGCTATTTTTACATTCCATTGCAATTTGTAGATGATCGAACTGTTCATAACTCAGAAAAGTACCTAAAATCAAAACTGAGTGAGTGACTAGCTAAGAATAAAAAAATTGGACTCGTTTGTACTTTCCTGAACTATTTTTATCTTCTCAGCGTTGCCTTCCTGGTCAGATTGATATATCGATAATAAAAGAAGACGCAACTATCCTGGTAATCGTAGGTCTTCTATCATGCACTGGGCAAATGTAATTGTTGAACAAGC